ATATATATATATATATATATATATTTTTTTTTTCTTTTTAAAGGCAAGAGAAGGGAGGGAAAATAGCATAAAATTAGACTTGTAACAAAAATCTATATCTTCGGTAATTTCCGAGATAAAATATGTTCCAACTTGGAGGATAGTTTTCACCCCCTTCAACGTCGACGATTACCGATAAAAGAAAAAAGAAAAAAATACGTGTCAGATATTTTTTCGAAAACTACGTTTATGCGAAATTTCATCAAAATCGATGATTAATACTTCGCTACTTATGTTCCCTCGTTAGTCGAGCTGACTGACCGCTAAATTTTGACAGAAAGAGTGTTCACGCGACACTTGTCAAACAATTTACATTCACGGTCACATTAACTTCAGTGCGATGCACGGGGAACTTTCGGGCCGATTATATTCAGCTTAATGGAGTGTGATGAAGTGACTCCAAGCGAAGTAGAACCAAAGAACAGACGGATAAAAGATAGAGTACGCTCGCGATACGTTTATAGAATACGGGGATACGCGTAAATGGGGCGATACCAGCCGATCGATGTCGAGCGTTAACAAGACGATGCCACTCGACGAGGGAGGGAAGTGAGAACCGTGGTTGGAGAAGTTTCGTGCGGCAGCGAGACCGTTTGGCAACGCGGCCAAACTCAGCGGCTATCTTTTGGCTCGCGGACGCTTCTTTAGGAAATGATTCATCTTGAAAGGAGGACATGGATCGCAGCAGACGCGCATGGAACGCCTCCGCGTCTCGCCGAGCACTCGATCATTTTCGCGTTTTATGCTACGAGATTCGAGACTTTCCGCCGATGATTTAGAACATCAGGCGCGTTTGTCGATGTGTCGAGCAGAACGAAACTGACCGAAGCGTCGTTAACAAAAGACAAAGCAAGGAAAAGAAAGAGGTGACTTTCGATCATTGGTGACCGCCAGACTGCGAGTTTTTATAAATTTGTGCAACGATATGCACACGATATGCGAAAATAGAGAGAAGAAGTCCAAGAAGGAAGAATATTTATTGCAATGGCATACGGAAGAGATAAATTTCTTTTTAAGTCTCCATTTCAATATTTCAATTGTGTTGGTGAAAATTTAAAAGCCCGCAGTCTAGTGCAATCTAATGGCAAAGTGAAATGTGCTGAACAACTCAAGAGAAGAATTATTTTCCAACACAAAGTTTCGCACTTTTTCAAGCTTTACTTTCTGATCTCGTTTCTTTCCCTCCATGCAGTTCATCGTCTGGACCAGTATCTAGTTAATTACTGACGAAGTAGGTGGGAAACCGAGTTGTTTGAGAACAAGAAACGAGTGGAAGCGAATCCGGCCGGATTCGTAGATTTCTGGGCCAATCGGGCTCACTCACCTCTTGTCCGGAAGCAGGAAGATCTTGACGTAGGGATTTCTATTTTGGCCGTTGCTCTTGGGCATGAGCCCAGCCGCGCAGATCAACGTGACGATCAACCGTAGCGCCGCAGGATCGAAGCTCAGCTTCACCTGCAGATTACCGCCGACGTTCGCGTTGCCGGATGAAACGTGTCGGAGATGCCTGGCGCGTCCTTGAGCGTGCAGATCCGGCGAGCCGGGCGAGGTCACTAAAACCGAAGGTTTCTCGCGCCTCGCGTCGTACAACTCTGCAAGCGATCGTTCCGTCACGATTAGACATATACGCGTACTCTTCGTATCGCTCGCGAATACGAATTTCGAACGATAGATATTTCGTCTACTTGGTTATATGGTTTAAAGGGTCTGTGAAATGAGATACATCTCTGGTGGACGAAGATAAGTAAGCGGGAATGGAACATTTCAACAATCTTCGTCGCTGTTATTTTTCTAAATGATTTCAGTGGATGTGCAATTATGAAATTTGTAATTTTTGACACAGGCATATAAGCTTGATCTCTGAAGGGTTAAAAGTGTAATTGAACGACGCGAATGTTTGGAAACGACGGCTTCGCCCAGTTTCCACCAGAGCTGCATCGGAGCACCATCCGCGGAAGCAGAGAAAAGAAAAGAAAAGAAAAGAAAAGAAAAGAAAAGAAAAGAAAAGAAAAGAAAGGAAAAGAAAAGGAAGAAACGGAGAACTAGAAGAGAGAAAAGACGTATGCATCGTGTGTGCAGCTACTGGCTCTCTCGATGCTTCGTATCGCGGTGAATAGAAGAAGGTGTACACAAAATTCGCGAACAAACTCGTAAAACGTCGGGCAAACGGGGACGTGGGTTCGACGATCTTTTACTAGGACACACCGAATCTTGGAATACAGGCGGTGGGTAGTAGCCGGGAGAATATTGAGTGACGTTCGAGTTTCGGGGCAAATGCAAGAAATTCGTGGAACTTACGGCCAGATGTTCGATAAATTGTTACTACCTACGGAAAACGTTTCGCGACCGCGAAATTTGGATTATTCTTGGTTCTGGGCGGGGGCGGAGGGGAGAATGGAGGGAAAATTATATACTTGGTTACAGCGATTCGACGGAGGTGTAATTCGTGCGTGCGTACATCCTCCTCGGCTTGGAAATTCCATTCCGTGGAAATTCGCAGATTACTTTGGGAGAATGGGGAGGAAGGTTTGGCAAGGTTTTCCGCGTGTTAACCCTTGGTATCACGGCGTGACACACCCGTGTTACGCCGTAGATTGAGAAGCCGCATCTACATCCTTTCTCTCTAGATTCTCATTTCTTGTCTTGTCGATTACGTTCCGTCTAAATATTTATTTCTAACCTCGTTTTTCGTTCAATCGTTCCCCACGGTAATTTAGCTTAATTAAGTTTCGTCTCGATTGTTTTTTACATCCTTCGCGTTATACTCTCTCGTCTGATTGCTGTGGATAGATTGCTGAATACTCATTATCTGGATAAATAATCTACGTAAACGCCTCGGTAGAATATTGCGTGAAACCGAGCGTTGCCTCGATGTTGCAGCACCAACATTCACGAATGATACGATGAAATGATCGAAGAATTTTGTCCGTTTATTGAAATACAGACGGAGATAAATGCACAACGACAGAAGCTTCCTCTGGATGAAAGGTCACGATACCAAGGGTTAACTTGCCGAATCGCTGTAAGACTCGTCGAAAAACACCCGTGACTTCCCTTCCATCACTGTGGCGTAATGCAATTTTTGTTGGCATCCATTTCTCGGCAGATAT